TTACTGTATTGTTTTATTTTGTGTACATGTTATAATTACATCATAATTTTAAATCTTATTTACAACAATAACAAAGATCTGTACAAAGTGCAATATTTATAAATTATGAACAGTATTTTTTTAATGAAATATACATTATTTTAATCATGTAAGACTTTAACATGCATTAATTGATCATAAAAGTATTCGTAAATATTACTGATTTATACTATACTGTCTGCAATAGAAATATTTTGAATCTGAAAATGGCGAATATATATGTTTTCATAAATGTGCGGTTCTCTGGCTAATAAATGATGTGGTGGTGTAAATATTAAGAGAATAATATAGTATAAAACAAAAAACAGTGCTGTTATTTATAAATTGTGACAATTACAAGAAATATGCTGATGAATAACTTGTTTTTTTTACTCTTTATATAAAATGATTTTGATATGTTATTTAACAAAATTAATATACCAAAACAATAAATATATAACTATTCATATTGTGTGTTGACTGTGTATGTGTGGAGAAAAGTACTAACACTATGCAAATAGATATATGAATGACATGTAAAATTTGTAAATTTGAAATGATAGCCAAGTCATCGCGTACATGCAAGCTGCCATATCACAATTAACATCACCTGATTTGATACTCTCTTCTGATTGGTTAACGGTTTATTGATGGTATGTACACATACACATGTAATGCAACACAACTCTGACAGCAATGTACACTATATAATGTACAAGTTAACTTAACTCCCCTCCAAATGATTGCGTTGATGATGACCCGTTCCTTTGCACGAAACGAACGAGATAAAATTATGTAAATATTATGGAAATAATAATTTCGACACAAGCCGACAGGGGCGTCGATCATGGGGGGACATGTCCCCCCCGTTTTGAAGGGTGGGGGACACAATATCAACTGTCCCTCCCACTTTCCAGACTTACCCAAGTATCAATAATAGGCTTATATCATTAATGATCAAGAATGAAAATTCCCAGGTGAAAATCCATTGATTAACAATAGGCCTATTAAAGTTTTCATTTACGATAATGGTAGTTTCTTCCCATCATCGCACGATGGTTTGCAAAACTTTTCTGCACTTCATCAGATAAAAATAGCCCGCATCCCGCAATTTTACTGCTATACTTTCCTCGGTCTTTAAGAAGTCTGAGAAGCGTAACGCGGGAGTCGCAAGACCGAGTAGCCGAATTGTAGCAAGTTATGGATACGAGCTGTCTACGTTAACCCCGCGAAAGGTAAATTCGGTCCCCCGTTCAATCTGAATTTACCCGGGGAATTTACACAAGCTTTTAATTATATCTACCTACGTTGACAAATCACAGTAAGTACTGTATATAACTTCAATTCAGTATAAACAATGGTGTGTATAGGCCTGGTTAAGTGTGGAATTACCCAGAACAATGAGAAAGCAAAAAGGAGAAAACAGAGCATTCCGGAACATTCTACAGAACATGTTGTTGTAAATAACTCCTAATATGGAAATCCCCAAAATGCAAGTAATGGATGTACCATGTGCGAGATATATGGGTCTCATATAAACAAAGATAGCGACTTTGACTGTTGCGCAGATCAACGAGTACGAACTGACACGTTTCCATGCTTTAATTAGGTCATTTTCATGGAAGGTATCGAAGGAGTCACCGGCGGTAATCAGTGCAAGTCGCGCCCCGGTCAAACCTCATACTTGTGATTTCCATTTGAAGAGCGCATTGGATTGTGGGAAAATCAATGTTTATCAACACAAATGTCGAACATGCGCAGCGCGACGACTACCGCGCTTTAAACAATTTCCGAGATCGCGCCCTCATTTGTCGATCTGTCACTTGACCTAAACATGGAAAACGTTACATACTAGTATATGATGATAATAATAATTGTTATATTGAAATCATAATGATAGTATAATAATATGTTTATTCCATACTGTAGGCCACTGTCCCAAAAGTACATTAGTAGTGTAATAAAATATACAATATTTAATATACTCTGAGAAGCGAGGTAAACCAATTTAGCTGTATTACGTATAGTGATAACTTTGATACAACCCATGAACTCGATAAATTTACCTGGACAACAATCAGTGCGATAATATAACGGGATATATTTGACAATTCATGGAAGGTGGGACAAATGAGACAAAAATGGTATTCGTTCTCAATCGTGTCAGTTACACAAAATAGACAATGGACAATATTGACATTGTACCCATACCTATATTTACCCATTATACCATTGCAAGAAAAAAATGGTTGTAGCAGCATATAAATGCACGGTCCCGAGTCTCGGCACGTTCCGAGAACGTGAACGTAGCAAATGTTGGGCAGCTTACAAATATATTTTCTGTAGATCTTATCTTTAACATTAATTATCAGATACCTTTCCATTCGAAAACCCCTCTTAATATTGTTCGTCAGTACAGTGTTTGGTATTTTCAACCGATGCTGTTATCTCTGCGTTAATTACTCTCTCCCACTTAATTGTATAATCTCTCTTAATTGTTTTTCATTCGACCCAGACAGTTCTCTTTTATCGTATATGTTTTCCCCAGTATTTTACCAACATTATTTCAATTAAAACAGAAAGTGATTGCCTTCTTAGTCTAATTACTGAATCAAATATGTCAATCCACCAGAGAATATTTATGTTAGTAGATCCACTGCACTTTGATTTCTAAAGAGTCATTAGTGCTTTTTTTGTGTAATTATCCTTTGCTAAATCATACTTTCCGTTAGTTTAAAATATATCCCTAAAATGTGTAACTATTAGCTATAGCTATTTCAACTTCATTGTGATAGAAATTGTATGTTATGTTTTAGCAGTCCGTCTCTTCTATAGAAAACCATTACCTTATATTTGACTTGCCAGTACTTTAAACATATTCAAAAGAGTGTCAATCACTATAATTAACATGTAATTAAAATAGTTATAAATTTAACACTGGCATTAAAAAAAATACACATGACAATTACAAAAGAACTTAAGAAAACCCGGAAAAAATGAAAATAAATTAAATAAATAAATAAATATTTATTTTGCAATCCTACATCAACGTGAAAAATAATTGTTTTCCAAATCTTATTTGATGTTGATGTGCATCATATCATAAATCATAAGTTATTTTGAAAGACAAGAGAATGTGAATTAACTTGAAGTGGGAAAAAATGAAAAATTAATATTCATTGAAATGCGGAAAAAATACTAGTAGTTATATTGCACTATCTAGAAAGAAAACGTACACACCTAGTAAATGAAGTTTAATGGAGTTGGGTGTTATTGTATTGGGCGGGCAATCTTTACATCTAGCCTATTAGATTCTTGAGATTTTTAGCACATGTTTTTGCAGTTATGTAATAAAGTTATTATGTTATGTTTTATCCGCTATTCAAACTTCTCTGATTTGTTGACTTATTTGGGTGGGTGTAATAATAATAAATAAAGCGTCCTATAAAGTTTGAACGCATTACCCATTCTATTGCGTCGTTTGTGAGCACGTACTAACGCAGTGTGACGTAGCGCTCGGCGCCGTGAAGGCAGCACTGTTTTTATACACACATACACATGCTGTTGCTAGGGGTTAGACGCTTAACGTTTTTGAATATCATACGCGCAGTTCTGTAATTCTTCCGATTACGAGTCGGTGGCACAGAAATGGCTCGATTAAAAAACACACCATATGTCAACATACTGCAAACATGACCGTATTGGATAAAAAAAATCTGAAATATTATAAAATAATCAACAACTTTCGGAACTATATTTTATTCCGCCTCGCACTGAAATAGGTGATGTGGTTTAGCCTCGCTTTCATATGTAAATAGAAGAGTTGAAGC